ATAAAATGAAGGTATTGTAAATTAATATGTGAATATTTACTATAAAGAAAAAACTAGAATAAATCAATACTTTTATTATTACTTTTAGGCTGAATTAGAATTGAACAAAGATCAATCATCGAAATTGTCCAGCGAAGAAGAAGAAGCAGACGAAGAAAGTGTCCCATCCCTTGAAATTTCCAAAGAAAAAATATCGGCAGAAGAGAAAGAAGCATCAGAAGAAACAGAATCGTCATCTTCACCGGCATATTTCGGTACTAGCACCGTTACTACAGAAAATGCTATGACAACCGAATATCCCTCGGCAATGGACAAAGTAGCTTTAGATCTTTATGCATTTTTGCAAGGTCAAACCAATTTAATAGACATGCCTGGTAATGAAACCAACGAATCAATTGATTCCACGACTTCCACTATTTCTGAAGATGATGAATCAACAGATTCGATACCCACAACGACTGATTTATCTGGAATAACAGCAGTTACGACTGATCCTACGATTGGTACAACATCGGTCGGTACAACAACGACTACAACAACGACGACGACAACGACGACGACAACCACTACAACACCAAGTACAACGACTACTACTGAACCTACCACGACAACTACAACGACAGAAGCTCCTACCACAACTATACCAACCCCAATTGGCAGAGGCAAATTCCGTCGACCAGGAGTACCAGGTGGTGGAGTTGGAACTAGAAATAGGTCGGTAAAATAATTTTAATAATCTATTATATTTAAGATAAACTTTATTGGTTGTTTATTTTGAATGTTTAGATTTAAGTCTAATAATGGTAATCCAACGAGTACGACAGAAGCATCATCGCCAGCAGAGCCAACACAAAGAACACGAGGTCGTTTCGGAGGATCGTCGAACGGAGGTGGATTTAAGAGGCCAAGACCTGGTCAAAAGACATCTCAACAACAACCAGTTGAGGAGGATGCTGTTCAAAAGGAATCGGTAGGTTCTGTTGCAGCTGAGAAACCTAGTGGTACATCTCGAGGTAGATTCCGAGGTACAGTTGGTTCCCGAAGTGTCTCAACGACGTCAGCTCCTGCCACTGGAACTAGTAGCAGCAGCAACGGCAACGGTAATGGTGCTTCTTCAGCTGGACCATCAGGAATTTCACGTCCTTCTTTCAACAAACTCAATATCAATCGCAAACGTGGAAGGCCAACGGCAGCTCCATCGACTACAAACAGTCAAGAAGACAGTCAAGAAGAAATTGGACAAAGTCCAACAGCTGAAAGTGCAACCGTCAGTACGTTGTCTTCATCGCCTGTATTAAAACCTGGTGTACGTACGAGATTATCGGGAGCATCTGGAAGTATTGGAGGACCTGCTAGATTATCACCTGTAGTCAGACCAACAGCTGGAAGACTAAATTTAAGACAAAAACCAGGTCTAGCCATTACTTCGGCTACATCTACGACTAGTGCACCAGAGGAAGTAGCCGAAGGATCAGTAGAAGAGCCAGCTGGAGAAGGAACCGAAGAAGAAACTCATGAGGTTAGACGATCATTTATAATATATTATTTTCAAATGTTTTGAATAATTTCATACATATCTATCTTGTCTATATTTTATTAATACTTAAAAGATTACGATATATTGGTAAAAATAAAGATTAGGTAGAAGAAGGTAAGACGATGATGTCATCAATCCGATACAAAGTTCTGTCTCTCTCTCTCTCTCTCTTTCTTTTTCTTGAGTCCACTTTCACTGAATGGCCTTTTGAAATGTCATCGACGAGAAGACTCTCGAATACTTTTAATCTTTCGACCTTCTGAAACATCCTCAGTCACGAAATAGAGTGAAACATTTCTTAGAGGAGAGATAAATAAACTTACTATAATCCTTCATTCTAAACAAAGAATAAAAAGACAAATAAAATTATTGTCAAACAGGCGCCTGCCGAGACGAATCCCCCAGCATTAAAACCAACAACGGTAAATCCATTGAACAAGCTCAGAAACAGAAATCGACTTCAGATTCATCCAAAGGCAACTACGAAAGCACCCTCATCACCGATTGCTGCTTCGAGACGTTCGCCATTGTTACCACGTAGAAAACCAACAATAACAGAAGCACCAGCAACTATTGCACAAACCAGTCAAGAAGAAACTTCCGAAGAAGAGACTGGTGTATCGTCATCCGATAATGAACAAGCGACCGAATTAGCAACCTCAGCTGAATCCAGCACAGCTGCCAGTACAAAGCACGAAGAAACAAGAGGATTCGGTGGTTTGCTAGCACCGAGACGAAGGATAGCACCAAGACGTCCTGGTCAAATAGTCCCTCGAGAGTAAATAATCCAGACAATGACGATGACGATAATTAAAACAGTGACGATACTGTTAACGAGACGACGACGATCCAAGTAGCGAAAAAAATGAAAAAATAACCGATTTCATTTAACGATTATAATTATTATTATTATTATTATTATTATTATTATTATTATTATTATTATTATTATTATTATTATTATTATTATTATTATTATTATTNTTATTATTATTATTATTATTATTATTATTATTATTATTATTATTATTATTATTATTATTATTATTATTATTATTATTATTATTATTATTATTACTATTATTATTATTACTATTACTATTATTATTATTATTATTATTATTATTATTATTATTATTATTATTATTATTATTACTACTATTATTATTATTATTATATTCATTTATTAGATATTAATTACACCGTTACAATCATCGAGCTCGCATTCACAGAGAAAAAGAAAAAAAGATAAATATTAATATTTTACAAAATTCAATAATAATTTAGATCGATCGCTACTTGGACGGAAACACCAACATGGTAGCTACATACATTTTTTTGTCGAATATTAACGAAAGCTCTATAAGTTTCGTATAGCAAGTCATTAAATATTATTATCAACATTGTCCACGTGCGACGATGAAGCAATTTAATTATTTATCCGGTTTATTTCTTTGATGTGTACTTGAAAATTGAGATGAAAATCATTCCTCGTTTTGATAATTTGCATTCATGCGATTCGTTTAATGCTATATCTCGAATCATCTTTGCGCTCTTTTCCAAAAGGTAAAAAGGTAGGAATAGAACAATCAGTAACCTTTTCTTCTTTGATATTCGCTGCACCTTTTTGTTCAGCTCAATAAAAGAATCTTCATTCGATCATATGTTTCTGTGTAGGCGCGCGCGCTCGTGTGTATGTATGTGTACGAAAACCTATTCGTTAAACTATTTATCCATTCCCAATCATGTGCACAAACACACACACACACATCCGCGCGCGTATGGCTACATACGCATACACAAGGTTAAAAATAACATGCTATTCGAATATAAAAGTTTTAGATTAGATCAAGTGGCATGATTCACAGCAAAGATAACATTTACAATTTCTTTAAGATGTTTTTCTTTAATCAATCACCTACGTTCTTTTTTACTTCTTTTTTTGTCCTAAAAAATGACTTCATCGTACGAATAAAAAAAAAACGTGTCGCATTATTATAAACGAACAGAAATATATACAAACACACACGCACGCATGCATGTATACATTCGTAAGATTAAACGATAAACGCAAGTTCTTTACATTCCATTAAGACGCGTATTTTTTACGTATTATATTTAAATAAACAATGCTCGTACGATCATGCTATAATTCGCGTGATAAATGCTAACCGAGAGCATATAGGTTAATGAAAAAAAAATAAAAACCTACATCTATCCACAACCAACCCAAGCTAATAACCCTATTCCACCAATCTTCAGCAATACGATACTTCTGTAAGCCATGTTCCAAGAGATACTCTGTAAATATTGCTATTAAATCTATGTAAACTTAATCGTTATTTAGTTCGAAAGAAAACTATTATTTAGCTGTCATATTCACGTTATAATAATCGAACTCGTATGTGTTCGTATATAATTTAAAAAAAAAAATAAAAACAAATGTCTTTTTAAGGTAATACTTTTTGATAGTAACATATAGATACATAAATATAATTTATAGAAGATGATGGATTAAAAATTCACTTTTTCCAAAATTTAAAATTACCATAATATTTTAATTAGTGTTTTGTTATATTTAAATTCGATTAAATATTAATAATTACGTTTGAAATTAATCGTTATCGATTGCAACAACTCAACTCAATTTTCATTAAAAGTTTATGTGTTAATCATATATATTTACATATATATAAATTAATAATTAAATTAATTATTTAAATAATAGACAATCGAATTATTCATCGTCGCGGATAAAAGAATTAATCGAAACGACAGCGGTAAAATAAATTGAGAAATAATTTTATTATTAATTCATTTAATTTTAAAAAAATTATTTTATTTTGTAATCATTAATATAGAATATATTTTAATAAAATATAATTAATATAATTCAATTGTGACTATACAAAGAAGTTTTCAGTCACAAGACCATGTGAGAATCTACGAAGTAATTCATCAATGATTTCACAACATGTCTTCGAAGTATTTCGTCAATGTACGTATCTACGGAAAGAATAAGTCAATGCAAAAGTCTCGATTCGTAAAATTCATTTCTTTTTAAATTCAAATTAATATCGTGTGTTATATGATAATAATTTATGAATTGTAATTATTTTATAGTAAACAAGACAAATACATGAAAAAACTAATATTCATTTTGTTGAGTAAATAAAAAATAAAAAATATGTATATATACATATATATATATATATATAGATTATATATATATATATATAATTAAATATTTCAAAATGAATTTTTGATCGAAACTGTCGAAAATATGAAAATATATATGTATATGCATATATGTATACATATTCAAAAAAATAAATAATGGTAAAAATGAAATCTTTTGTATCAACTATCTGCGTTTTGATTGGTCGAGCAACGATGATAAAATAGTTCTTTTTTTAGCCGCTAAGTGTACGACAATCGGCGCAGAGTGAACAAGAGAAATAAAAGAAAGTATCAGTAAAGATGGTGGCTTCGAAGGACGGAGCTAAGCATTCTTAACGGTCAAATGTCTAAATTAGCTGTGAATAAGAGGTCTAAAGTTAATCAACATGTAAGTGTCGATTCACGAAGGGTCAGTTCTATGTAAATGAAAGACTTGCGAGTAATCTCAAAGAAAAGAATTTCGAAAAGCAGTAAAATAAGGTACGAATAATTGCGGGATATTTCCACGCTTTGTTTATGAATATCAGCTGTGCTAGCAAACATACGCGTTGAGTTATCCGTACTGCGTTTTTGAACGCACTAATCTATTTTCGTATCGAAATAAAGGTCACACGTTAATGTTAAGACATAAGTGAAGAATCCGATAAGCAAATCGGATGCGTAATACAGACTAACGTATATTATATTCTTTTCGATTAGAAATCTTACGATATTTTATGATCACTTTATTTTTCTTTGATTTTTTTCTAATTTAGTTGAAAAATTTTCGATAAACTAAAACACACATCAGTAAAAAATAGATCCCCCTTCCTCTAAATTTCAACATCGTCATTTTCCATGATAATGCATTTTGATTTTCTTTGTTCTTCCACCATTTATATCGTTTCAATAGGATGGAAATTACAACAAAGAGGCTTTCTTCGATACCAATACTCTTCAAGAGTATTATTCTCTTTCTTCTAGCTGCTTTGTTTTTTTTAGCCATTCATGTTTTCGATTACAGACATTGAGAGAGTAACCTACTCTACCTATTTGTACAATTTGTATTAAGAAAATAAAACACATCATGAGAGGAGGAAGAAGGACGGATATTGTCTTCTTCACTAATCAAAAAGTAAAAGCAGGGATAAGCTATTGGTCGAGGGAGCGATAAAGTCTGTCATGTTTATAAAGGTGACTTTATTGTTAATACGATAGCATTAGCATTAATTAATACGATATGCATCAGCATTCAAAATGGCTTGACACGTGGTTAGTTCGTCAACTCGGTGCATTTTAAATTCCTTCTTTGACTAAAATGGTTTCTTTTCTTTCTCAATTTCTCTTTCTCTCACTCTTTTATTCTATATTTTTCTCTTACTTTCATCTGTATTTTTTGTTATTAGAAAACATTAGTCATCAGGTTTAACAAATTTTATTCTAACCTATATTCTTAACGATTAGAAACAATGTCGAAAGTTTTAGCTTTTTTTTTATTAAATATATAGAATTTTATTAAATGCAATGGTTTTGCATTTAATAACTATCATCATTACAATAGATTTCTTGTTAAAAATTTATTTAAATATACACAATATCAAATCTAAACAAAATATCTAGCGATTCGCAATGGCTATTACTTTTCTTCTTCCCCTCTTAACGTATTTGGCGCATAATCTGCATTTTAGATGCAGATTTGGGAGCAACTTTCCACCTGTAGTTAAATAAACTTAATGACATGAAAGAATGAAACGAGATACCGTCATTACCTGTGTGGAACCAAACCGAAGAGCAAAAACGGTAATGCTCCATCTCTAAGATTCAATCATATGTCATATTATAAATGTTTGCATGTAAATTGTATCATTATTATTTGTTACAAGTATCACAGTATGAATATTTGTATTATTATTATATGCATACATGAAATATGCAACGTCATTGTTAAAAATTTAAGCAAACAACAACGGTGTCATCTTTAGATATGTGTTCTTCTGGAGAAATTCATAATTTGTTTAGTATCTTTAGTGTTATTTTTATACATACATTTTATATACTGCGGCACGCTAATTTTAATTGTCCACAATCAATGTCATTTTCATTTTTCTACTATTTACCATAGTGTATCAGTTTCTTAGACTTATTAACATTTACAGATGACAACTATATTGGATGGCAGCTATCAACAGCTCGAGTCTTACGACGAGGGTGAAGGTGATGGTGACAATGATAACGAACAAGAAGAAACGCCTCAAGAATCAGCTGTTATGATACATGTAGTACCGGAAGGAAACAAGGCCAGATGGAATCATATAGAAGATTTGGATTCATTCTTTATGAGAATGTATCATTATCATCAAAAGCATGGCTTCAAATGCATGATGCTCGAAGAATTTTTTGAATTACTAGAAATCATTTTCATAGTCACTCTCTTCACGTTCCTCTTGCATTGTGTCAATTATCCTGTATTACTTGGGTAAGTTTTATCTTTTGCTCCTATATAGAATATAAACAAATATGGTTATGTTAAATCATATTTGTATTTATTCATATTTTATCGTTGAAATATTTTATTTATTCTTCTTATAGATATGAAGATATCCAGCACAAATTAACAATCCCCGATGTCTTGTTTTCATCCGAGGAGTGTTTAGCCTCCATAGGATGGGCTACATGGTTTTGCATTTTATTTGCAGCTATTTATTTAACTCTAAGCATCCTTAAAGTTCTCTATCATCTCATTAAGTTCTGGGATATTAAATTATTCTTTAATGAAGCATTAAAAATTGATGACGCGGATTTAGATAATTTTACATGGCACGAAGTTCAAAGTAGAGTAATAGAAGTTCAAAAGGAACAGGAAATGTGCATCCATAAAAGAGAGCTGACGGAATTAGACATATATCATAGGATATTAAGATTTAAAAATTATGAAGTAGCTATGATCAACAAGTCTTTGTTACCTCTCAAATTTAAAGTCCCTATATTTGGTAACATTACTTTTTTGACTAAAGGATTAAAATATAATATTGGACTACTCTTATTCTGTAAGTATTCATAAATATTTATAAAATTATATTATAAAGAAATTATAATCTATTAATTTTATTTGTCTTTATTTGTTCATTTAATTGTAGGGGGACCATGGTCGCCTTTTGAAAATAATTGGCACTTAAAAGAAGAATATAAAAAATTAAGTAAGAGACAGGAACTAGCGCGAGCATTATCGAAACAAATTTTATGGGTTGGGATAGCTAATTTCTTATTATGTCCATTAATTCTTTTATGGCAAATCCTTCATTTAATTTTTAGCTATGGCGAAGTAAGTCATCAAATAATATACTATAAATATTAAAAAGATTAATAAGATTCTTCTAAAAGAGTTTCCTCTTATTAATATAATATTAAATTAAAAAACAAATATTATTTTTAAATGCAGCTAGTAAAGAACGAACCAAGTACTTTGGGATTAAGAATGTGGTCTCCGTATGGTCGACTGTATCTTCGTCATTTCAACGAACTTGATCACGAATTAAATGTCCGATTAAATCGTGCTTATCATCCTGCTCAAAAATATATGAATTTATTCACCTCCCCAACAACTACGGTCGTGGCCAAATTTTTTGCAACTACATTTGGCTGTCTGTGTTTCGTTACTTTGTTATATGGATTAATATGGAATACTATTGTACATGTTGACCACATGATAACAATAGCAACGTTTTTGAGTTTTGTTGTAATCGGTGCAAGAAGACTCATACCCAGTGAAAATTTGGTATGGTGTCCAGATGCATTGTTGAACGGTGTTTTGGCACATATACATTATAGTCCGGACAGTTGGCGAGATACTGCACATACACAAAAAACAAGAGCACAGGTAGCTGTACTCTTCCAACATACCATTGTGCATTTATTGGAAGAATTGATATCTCCTTTGGTAACACCATTTATTTTGTGCTTCCGCATAAGACGCAGAGCTTTAGAAATTGTAGACTTTTTTCGTAATTTTACTATCCAAGTAACTGGAGTCGGTGATGTATGTAGTTTCGCTCAAATGGATATAAGAAAACATGGAAATCCAGCTTGGCAAACTGTTGATCAGAATCCTATAAACAATCGTAATACAGGATACGATAATCCAGCATGTAATATTAATATAGGAAAGTTCGACGTTAAAGAGCCGGCTGAGGATGGTAAAACGGAGTTATCCCTGATACATTTTACCCTAACCAATCCAGAATGGAAGCCGCCGAGTCACGCAGAAAACTTTGTTACGGCATTAAGAGAGAGAGCTAAGAAGGATATTAATAATGTACAAACCGTCGAAAACCCAATGATTACAAGTTTAACTAATGTATCTGATTTAGGACCTCAAGTAAGTATATGTATATTTTACAAAATGATAGCAATTATCGATTTATATATTTGCTTGGATAATAAATAATTTATAATTATTTTCCAGTACGACGGAATAGTATCAAATCTATTCCGAAGTATGACAAACCAACAAAGTGTTCCAAATATGAGCAGCGCACTTAACTACCAATCTGATGGTAATTTTGGTGTTTCGAACCCAAATTACTCAGCATCTACCAGTCAAAGTATACCGCGTTACCAATATTATGGCGTCACAAGAGCTGAAGGTCCATTGTACAGTGATAAAAGATTCATGTATGGACTGCAACAAAGTATATCAAACAATTCACTTGGTGGATCCATTTTTGGATCTGGAAACGAAGTAGTTATAAACAAGTCGGTACCGACAGACTTAATTGCAGCTGATATGTCGTTATCTACATTGTACCTGCATGAGCTTCATCACAAACAAGTAAATAATATTATTTCAAGTATTATAGAATATTTAAGGACTGTGAGTTTTTTTTTTAAATGATTATATTTACTTAATATGTAAATGTACAAATAAATTCTAGGTATATGATCGAGGGAGTCATCAAGAAAGATCTACAAGAAATGTTTGGCTGCGAAGTCCAGTTCAAGAATTAGAAACGCTTTCTGAAGTCAGACAAGAAAGAGCTCCTTTACTTTCTCATCAGGATTCTTCTATTAGAATAAATAAAGAATCCTAGCGTAACGGTTGTGCCGAGGTCATTCAAATGAAAACTTTCAACTAATTCACCATGCTATTACTGGCTTAGATGAATTATGAGTTTCTTTCTTTCATTTGTTTTGTCCTTTTTAATTCTCTAAGAAAGACTTCATAAAGCTGAAGTTTCTAATGATAGAAAAATATACTTTAGACGCATAGAAAGTCACCCGAAAATTAGTAGCTTTGATGATAGTTTGGCTCTCTTTTTTCTTCTTTTTTTTCTAATTTATCCTTACAATTTAAATTTTATATCTATATTACAATTTTTTTTAGAATAGATTTATGTAATCTAATATTGATATTATTAATTAATATTATTATTATTATTATTATTATTATTATTATGTAACACATAAAGGATTTTCGCTGGAGAATTCAACGATATAAAAGAATATTATATGCCTATGCTCGTGGCGAAGGGGGCCTATTTTTTGTGTGTACTTTTTAGATTTCAATTTATCGAAAATAATTCGTCATTAACGTTCGTTTGTCGTGTGTCTCTAACGAGTTTAAATATGTAATTAGCGTTAGACGGAGAAAATTATTGGCAAAATACGAGATTGCTCTTTAAAATATGATAGTCTAACTGACATTGAATTATGAAATAATTCATAATAATAATAATGATGATGATGATGATGGTGATGATATAAATAATAGATTGAAATAACTATGATGAGAGTCAACATAGTTAATTTAAAAGGATGCACATATACATATACATATAAACATAAATTCATGCATACATATTTATATACAGAATGTTAAATAATATGTGGTACCTATTTTAGGAGTGGACCATATAAACAAAGTCAAAAATATGACACACGTTTATATGAAATTTTTGTATCCGCTGTTCATTCCTGAATTGGGTCCCACAAATTACAAAACACCCTGTATATATACATGTGAATATATTTTTATCTTGGAATCATTCACTCATCGATTACTTCGCATTATGATTAATCGTCCCAATCGTGATGATCGTCGTTATGATGCACCATAAACTATGATGTAGAGATATATTTAATATTTTTTGTATTTTCAATTTTTTTTTTCAATGTCCACAATTTTCTCTAGTCATATGAAGATAATATAAATAATATCACGTTTTATGTAGTTCATGACGAATATATATATATATATATATATATATATATACATTATAGTTAATCTTTCTTATTGTTCAAAAAAGAGAGAGGGAGAGAGAGATAGAGAAAACGATAAAGTTTATATTTATAAATTTCTCGTCGCTCTCTGTGCTACTATTTAAATAAGCGTGGTAATTAAACATTTCTAATCTGCTTCGTTAAATTACTATAAATACTTAGAATAAGTAATTGCAACTCAACAACAAACACAAGTGTAAATATTATTGTTGCACAATTAACTCTTCCGATGAATCGACAAAAAAAAAACAAAGAATAGGAAATGATACCTTTTCTTTGTTCTTTTTTTTTAGATATTTGTTTTGATCTTTTTATTTCTTTAATTTATCAAATGGTTGTCATATATATATTATACGTATATATATTACGTATACACACGCATACATGAATTAAATCATATTAATTTAAACAAATAAAAATAATAGAGAGAAACAATATAAAAAATAAATTTTGAAACTTGGGGCTATTGTCTACTCTCGTTTTAACGAATCAATTTTTAAGACAATTAAGATTAATCTTTCTCTAGAAAGAAGAAATCTTATATAAATGTGATGATCATTTAAAGAAAAGAAAAGATATTACAAATATATAATAGTTATCTGTAATTTACGAATATAAAGTATGAATAAAAATAAGTTTCTTAAGAAATTTATAAGAAATTTTTACCTAGCAATTATGATTAATCACAACCAGCGAAAAATTGAAAAAAATGGAATACTAAATAAATCACTGTTAGTGAAATATTTGAGAAACCAGAAAGAAAAAAAGAAAAAAAATATTAATATTATTTTTAATGTAAAGTCAAAGATGATTGGTTGATATTACAAGAAGATGCAATTTATTCAGAAAACAAAAGAAAAATAGATAAATTAAGAATTAAAAAATAGAAATCAATGTAAAAAAATTGTTTTCTATTATTTATATTAATTATGAAAATTTTAATTATTTTATAATTGTGCACAAAATACATGAAAATCTCTCATTGGCTATAATTTAAACAAAAAAACCATTTAATTTGTCAATTTGAGCCTATCGAAGCGACTGTGTAAAACCAAAGAATATAGAATTAAATATATAGAACATCAAAAGTTCACATTTCGTATAGAAAATTCATCTTAGTTAGCATCAGAACTACCAGTAGGTAATAGTAACGCGATGATAATACAATACTATCGAAGAACGGTACAAACTATCAAAGAATGCAATATTCTCCCTATTATCTCTCAAGTTTGGTCCCAGTGTTAAGGTGAATTTTTTATATGAAAAGTGGACTTCTAATGTTCTATATAATTCTACATTCTTTGATACTGCTTATCAAGTTTTTATCAGTCAATAAATCGAAATCTACTTTTACCAACTGATTTGTAATTTTGTTGATAAGGTAAATATTTACCATGACTATCTGCGTTGATGGGTAAAACAATTACTTTTTTTGACTTTACTTTTTGAATTAGTCGGTAAGGATTATTGTATTGTAACAATCAAAGAATATGTAATATAGTAGAACATTAGAAGTATACTTTTCGTATAAAAAATTCATCTTAATTAGCACGAACTACCAGTGGCGATATACTTTACCCGATGACAATACAATACTATCAAAAAATACAATATTTTATCTACTAACACCCACTGGTGGTCCCGATAATAACTAAAATGAATTTTTTACATGAAAAGTCCACTTCTAATGTTTTACGATATTATATATTCTTTGGTAACAACACCATCAAACGGACAAAAAGGAAGAGAATCAAGTCGCTTGCAGGTATAGATAAATCATAGTTGCACTTAATCGCTTTTTACAATTCTCTTGACGTGATGGAAGACCTTGAATGCTTTGAGGACCTATAAGGCTATTCCGAATGGATGTAATCGTATTTAACAGATTTGCAAAGAGGAATCAGACAAAGAATAGATCCATGAACGTGAATAAATGAATGGATGGATTCTTGACTGAAGATTTAGTATAAATAATATAGTAGATACTTACATTACATACATTACATATATATATATATATATATATATATATATATATCATTTGTTTTACTGTGCTATTTGTATTCCGACTCTATTCTCGAGTATGAATGATCATCGTAAAAAATAATTTATTTTATTTCTTACTTTTCGTATTTTAATTTTATTTACAAAAAGTACACTATCAGTCATGTTAGAAACTTGACTGATTGCACGTACAAAACAATCGTTCATACAATGAATTTCTAAAAATATTTTGTTTCTTTTTTTAGATCTGATGGATATTTTGATAAAGAAAAAAGAAGAATCAGAAAAAGATAAAAAAGGATAGAAGAACTTCGATTTTTTTTTTTTTTTGAAAAAAACTTAACATTTGAGAAGACAAATTCAGTATCATTTTACTTTGTATCTGTCTTCTCACAATGATTGTAAACTCGGTCGATGTATCTTCTATATACTTCCTATTATATCTTATCTTCTTTTCTCTTCGTCTATTTTCCACTCTTATCAAATATTCGCAATAGCAACTTCACGAAACTCAGTTTGTAATTCTGGTGCAACTGTCCTCAAGATATTCTCAACATTCTTGCAACAATTAACGTAAATTAGTTCTTGTCCTCTCAACGAGAGATCGTTTGCAAGTAATTTTATATTCTGCAAAAAGAAAAGTCATTTTTTCATATAATTTTAAAATTTACAAAAATAGATCATTTTCTTAATCAGCTTTTCATATTTATATAAATAATTATTTTACCTTAGCAACAGTAACATCAATTCTTTTAAGATTTTTGAAATCCAGTACAACGTTGCAACAACTTTCTTCTGTAAGCTTCATTACATTAGAACGCAAATGTTCGGCTGCTGGGAATGCAAGAGCTTCTTCAGGAATTATGTGTATCATAACTCGGTTCTGATCATTCTAACAAATCATGATTGAAATAAATGTACAACAAATGAAAAAGAAATATCAATGAAATATTTTGCTTCTATTATAACAAACCTGTTCGAGCTTAGTTTCGACGGATGGCCTTGCCGAAAAATATAGTAACGTCATTAGGTTAAGGACTATACCAATGGCTATTCCTAATTCAAGACCAAGGAAGATACATGGTAGGAGCGTTAATACCATTACGCAAAAATCGATCTCTAAAAAGTTTTCCCACTTTTTTTATACATAGATATTTATAAATATTTATTTAAAATAACGAAAGTTTAGATATTTTATTTATTAGATAATTAATGTAAGAAGTAAAAAACATTATGTTTTTTATTGTATTATATTAATAGAAAAATAGAATAAAACGGGTGGATAAATTTAAGATTAATTAAAAAAAAATTTTTTTAAATAATACTTACTTCTCGCACGCCATAGTAATAAATAAGTATCAAAATCTAGCATATAATACATGGCACATAGGATGACACCTGCCAAAGTAGCTTTAGGAATAAAACGAAAGGTACCTGTTAAAAAACCTGCTGCAAGCAGAACGAGACAACCTGTTAAAGAAAAAGAAAACAAGAAAATATAAATTCCAAATGTTAAATGCAGGAAAAGAACTGAAAAAAGTAATGTTTTTTTTTCTATTTTTCTATCTCACGCTTTTTCTTTCTATCGAAATTATGTTTTTGATTATCACAAAATCTTATTGATAAAAAAGAAATCTAAACCATGTAAGCTTTCGTTTATCGATTTATCAATTTAATCTCGAAATATCTAATAACGAAATACTAGGTATTTTCTATTACATTATATATATTAATAATTAATTACCTGTGAATAAACCACCGAAAGGTGTCCTCACACCTGACGCATGATTAACAGCCGTTCTTGTGAATGAACCTGTAACTGGCATTGATGATACAAAAGATCCTAAAATATTGCAGATCCCGAGAGCGAACATTTCTTGAGTTGCATCCAAAGATCTTCCCTTTGCTAATAATAATAATAACAACAAATTAAAATAGAAAGCAAATTTAAATTTTTATCCAAAATTATGAGGTTGGATTAAAAAGTTTTGAGCCTCAACAAAAGATTTTTACTTTTTAAAAATAGAAGTCAGTTTGATCGAAAAAAAATTGTTTCTGTGTTAGGCTTCCAAATTTTTCAACCAACTCACGTATATATAATATTCTTTTTTTTTAATTATTATATTATCATTATTATTATTTTATTAAATATGCAATATGACATTTATATGTATTTTATATATTTTTTTTATTTTTTTATATAAATAAAAGTGTATGTAATAATATAATAATAGTATAATGTATGTATGTATTAATTAATTGTACAAAGAAATTGTTTCTTTTTTTTCTTTTTTTTTAATATCTAATTTTTTCTTCTTAAAATTTATTTATAAAAAAGGAACTTACCAAAAGCTTTGGCAATTGCCATATGTTCGATAGTAGAAACAATAGGAATGGAAATGATCGTTGATCCCATAATCGTCGTCATTTCTATGAAATCATAAGTTTTATTTTGGTAAGTCGTTGAAAAGGGCGGTGGTTGGAACGGTGGTAAACCTTGTCCCATTGATCCTAAGTATCATCGTAAGAATAAACTATTAATATTGTTAGAAAGGAAGAGTTTAGAAAATAACAAGATTCATGGCAATGATGTAATCTCGAAAATTGTTGATCTGTTTCTTAATATTTATTTATTTTTATTGTATTCTTTTTTTTACCTGTAAGTTTAAATATTTCTTCTCCATTATAATAAAAAATGTAAGCTATAATAGTTCCTGCGACAACGACTATAGCATTTCTAGCTAATGTTAAACCCCATAAAAATTTTTGCACCCAAGTACCGTTTCGTCGTCCAGGTAAATTCTATAAATAAAATAAAAGTGTATATATATAAAGTGTAATAATAATTATGATCTTTTATTTTCTAGTACATTAATCTGTCGATTAATTAACTCTTGACAAAAATAATATATATATATATATATATATAGTATAATTGTGATAAATGATATTATCAAATCAATTTTCGAGATCTTATCATTGATAAAAAAAAAAAAAGAAAGAATATCTTATAAAAAGAAATTGTGTTTCTTAACATAATAACAAGGACGATATATATAATAAATGTATGCAGGATGATCCATTTTAATGAAATTAATAATCTTAATATCCTATACATAATTAAAAATGTTTTTTTTTCTCTTTTTTATATTGAAATGTGATATTATATAAAGAAACATCAAACCCCTTGGGTCGTACAACGTAATAATATACCTCAAAAAGCAAAGTAAAGAGGAGTAAGTAAAAAATACAAGAAGAAGAAGAAGTAGAAGAAAAAAAAGAAGTTTTACCTTGAAAATAACCAGGACGATGATCGTGGATATACCCAAGAGCGTATCCTGATATCTGATCGCGTTTAAATTCGAAAAAACTTGTATAACGGAATCTAGAAAGCTTTCAGCCCTTCCCGGAATACCAAGAAGAGATTTAAATTGCGACGAGGCAATGTTAATAGCTGCAGCCGAGGTAAACCCGGTGATGACAGGTAAAGAAATGAAATCCAAAAGAAAACCTGTAAATCATTATGTTCAAAAGAAAGGATGTATATGTGTCTATAATTTTTTAATTAATAAATGAAAAGAAAAAAAATACGATAATGTTGGTCTAGGGTGAAATGATTTTCCATGCAGAGAAGAAGAAGAAGAAAAAAGTATGAACTTTCTAACATACCTAAATGAAGTAAACCCGATAACGTGATAATACATCCTTTTAAAAATGTCAACAATATAGCCATATCAGGACCATGACTCAATACAAGCGGTTGTACCATAGTTGCCATAATTGCTGTTGGCCCAATAGTTATGTTCTCACAAGATCCAAAAATAATATAAACGAAGGATGCCATAAAAGCTGCATACAAGCCATACTAAAGACGATCATATTAGATGAAAGATAATTGAATAGATAGAAACTACAGTTAACACGATTATTCTATATTAACTGTATTTACAAAGATAACGAATAAATTACCTCAGGACTCAGTCCAGCCACTATTCCATAAGCGATCCCTTGAGGGATTGCTGTGAGACCTACTGTAAAACCAGCAAGCGCATCTTGTAACAACCATGGCGCTTTATATCTTGGTAACCAGCCGAAAATTGGTAACCTACGTTTCAAGTAACCTTTGCAAGCATTTTTATCCGTTAATTTGATCGCTGCAGCAAAACAAAGCAAAATTATAACTAACATAAGCTCCATTTTCATCTCATATTTTTATACCGATATATCATATTTACGCCTTTCCTTCATTTTTATTCATATAATCGAATATTTATACATATTTTAACGCAAACAAAATTTTTTATAATAGAACGTTGAATTTTTTAATTTACATAGATTTTTTATTAAAGCCGAACTATTCGAATTCTTTTCAACTTTCGGACAAGTAATTCCTTTTTATTTTTCAAAATGTAAGTGATAATCAAAAATATCTACACACACAGAAATATATATTATATATATTACATATATTTTTATTATTATTATTATTATTATTATATTTAAATATAATATATTCATACTCTTGTGCAGAAAATATTTAACGGTAGAACGTGAAGTTAATTCTCTATTAGGGGAAGTTTATTTTAGTTCTTGTTTAAAATGAATACCTGAAATTCTTTTCAATTTTTGAGAAAGTAATTTTGTTTATTTGTCGAAACGGAAATAATAATTAAAAGTGTAGAACAAAAAATTATGTGTATAATATGTATATGAAGGATCGCGTGTAATAAATTAAAGGAAACTATCGTGATCGCGTGAAATCGTAAGTTTCGAAAACTGAACGGACACTTATCGAACAATGTTACGTATTAACTCAACCCAATAGAGAGAGAACAAGAGAGAGAGAGAGAGAGGGAGAAAGAGAGAGAGAGAGAGAGGGAGAAAGAGAGAGAGAGGGAGAGATCGAATAATAGGGAACACGTTAGGATAGGATTTGTGTGTTCCAACAATAAAGTGGATGAATCGATCGTAGGAAACTTTACTAGGATAAAAAGCTAACATTTCTTTATCCTTTTTTACTATCCTAGTCGTCTAACTTGGAAACAAGAAGTTAAACAGCTTACCTGTCTCGCTCACTGTACCACGTATCCGGTTGAACATTATTTCACTTTATCTTCAATTGCAATAAAAGAAAAAAAAAATAATAAATAAACAAAATGGAAAAAGTATTGATAAGAAAAACCGCAAATAAAAAAAAAATGCAAATAATAACAATAACAATAATAATAATTAAAATCAAAATTTTCGAACTTACCTTTGAATGATAAATTTTCTCGAGTGCGCACCTGTCGCACTGACAGATACAATTCACTTATGTATCGTTCTATCGTATCGTTCAAACTTATATAAGAAATTTCTTGTTTTTTATCTTTTCCTTGAGAACTTTAAAGAGAAAAAAAAAAAGAAATAAACTCGTTTATCGTAAGCAATAATAATGTTCGATTATACGTGACGAGATTATTAGGCTTTTGGTACGATTAGTGTTAATCAATAATAACAACAAGTAAAATTATTTGCTACGTGTTGATCGTTCATGTTTGAATGAAACAAATATTATAATGTATGTGTTAACGATACGAATACTAAACGATATCTCGGAACAACTTTCGTGTGACGAGGATGAAACACAACTGAAGAGGACTTATAGATGTAATCATTGGCAGAATGTTTTCTGGCTGTCTTTATCTCTTTCTCTCTCATACACTCTATCTATTTCTCTTCACTGGTTTTCTCCCTCCTCTTTAATTATAATACAATTGTCTCGGAAAAAAATTCTCTACCTTGCAAACTAGTGTAATCCTACACTTTCCTTCTTCTCTTCCTTTTTAATATTTTATTCCCTGTTTTTTATAATGTTCTTTCTTTTTTTTTTTTTTTTTAAAGTAACAATTATCGGGAGTCGAGCAAATATTTATTTTAATTTATATATCAATAAATTTACAGGTGTGATTATGATTATAGAATTTTTAATAAATAATATTTTTCAATATTAACGAGAATGAATAGCAAAGATTTTTACCTCTATAAATTATTTTCTTTTCATTTTTTTAAAAGTGAGTTTGACGGAAACAAGATTGTTTCTATGTTAGAATTAAGACTTTTCAACTTAACTACGTAAAATATATGTATACATTGCTATACTATTATATTTTATAGTTTATTAAATTACATGACAATTATATGAGTAATTTTAATAATATAATAATAGTTATTTTTTATAATAACAATAATATATATCATTGTAATTATATATTTAATTATTAATAGAAAATCTAACAAAGAAGAATTTTGTAAGATTTTTTTATATTCATGAATATTAAATATATTATCAAATGACATTAGTAATCAAATGTTTTAATAGCAAGCAAAATTATTAGGGCATAGAGAAATTCTTGAAAATAACACAACAGGTAGTCGTATGTCACTATTAGGCATGCTTCGTTAGCATAACAGCCAATATGTCAGAAAAGAATAGACAATCGTAGAAGTTGGAAATTTACTTTTTAAGTTATAAATTTTTGATCATAATGAATCGCTAATTCAAAACAATTATTTAAAAACTTATCAAATTCACATCAAATAATTTAAAAATCAAAATAATATTTAAAATAATGAAAGAACATAAATTTTTATTCATAAATTCAGTTTGATAGAAAAATAAATAGAAAGAAAAAGAATATTCCATTTTAACTTTCGAACGATAAATTCGACAAATAACATATTGTTAGAAAAGATTACTCGAATATATTTGCCAATAAACCCAATGATTAATTAATATTTAAATCCAAATATGTAGATATATGTAAATGTCATGAATATGTGTAAATTTTCAGTCAAGAAATGATTGATTGTTATCTAACGAAATATAAAAGTAAAAAATGCAATATTACAATTCATATCTAACATGGATCAAAATAGTGGCAATACTTTTTTTTTTTCTATCTATCTAAACACATTTGTTAATTCAATCAATATATACAGGGTGTTTCAAAAAACCATTCAATATTTATATGGTATATATAGGATATATTGTTTTGAGTAGAAATGCTTTAGTAAACATTTTCGTTTGTTATTATCATAATTGCTACTACTGAATTTTCGATGTTTACAGAAGATTTTCTACCTTCCATTTCTACACATGCTTGGCATCTTCTTTTTTACAGATTCGCGAACTCTTTTGAAAATTCCACATTTCTGTTTTGACAACCGTGATGAATAATACGCTTCCATTTTCACGATACTTTGTAACTGTGTAATATCTATAATCGCTGAACCGCAACTGACCGAAAAATCTACTTTCGGCACTTGAATAAGAACATTTAGAATGCGCTTTAAAAACACAATAGTTAGCATCTCATGCAATGGAAGCAATTAAGTCAGTCATGATACCAGCAAACAAAAATGTTTATATCACAGAAACGGTTGACTTTTCGACCTATGTTTACCAATGCTTTTTTATTCACTCAGTACAGTGTATCCCATTTATCATATAAATATTGAATGTGGTTTTTTTTAACACTCTGTATACATTAATTTACTCTTATAATTCTTTTCGATAGCGTATAAATTAAACAACCGAGATTTAAGATTTTTTCTCTCTTTTTCTCTCTCTGATTTTAAAATAAAAATGAAATATTTTGAAAAATGAAAAATAAACGATTGTAAATGAGAAGACCATAGCTATTTGATTTTATCGAATCTTTTGTTTTTCTTCTGTTTCTTCTATTTTTTTATTCTTCGTCGATCTGTGAGCTTGAATGAGTTTGTTGAATCGCACCGATATAAAAGCTACCATTACGCTTGCGCCTTTTCATAAATGGTAGGGGATATGTAAGGTGTTATTCGTTGAAGGTGGTAGTAGAGGGTAAACGAGAATCCTTTGCGATCAGTTCCGCGCGTAACGCCGACGATAACGTTAACATTATTATCTTATTCCATTTCAAATAGATTTTCATTAACTATACATTATTTTCAATTCAAATTATAAACAACAACTACGAGAGAAAAAAAATTAACAATTCTTCGTTTCGTCAGATTTGTGATAAATTATATTTCATTATTGAATTAATAAAAAAAATTAAATAAAAGTTTGAATAGACGGACGAACGAATAAATAAAACGAATAAATTGAATAATCAATAATAATTAACTCAATGTCAGCAAATAAATTCAATTAAAAAAAAAAAAGTAACTTTCAATGAATCGCAATTAATGAAATTTAAAAAAAAAAATAAAGCACGAAATTAAAGTATAAATGTTTAAAAATTAGCATGAATAATAGCAATTAATTAAATAATTAATGTAGTGTATATATATTATTTTTATGATGTTTAAATGAATGTAAAAGCTATGTGTATATACGTGTTAAATTACGAACATTGACAAATGTTAAAAACTTTATATCTTAAAGTATTAATATTGATATAAATAAGTATAAATAATAATTAAATAAATAATATAAGCTATATATTATCAATTTTTAATATAATATGAATAAAGAAATAATCTGTACATAGTTCTGAACTGATAAACAATGAAAAAATTAAAATAATTTAAAATATAAATATCAATATAAATTAGTAATGAATAATTACTATTTTACTTTTTTGAAATATTACTATTTATTCAATTAATTATTGAATAAATAATATAATGTGTATGAATTATATTTATGATATGAAATGAATAAATAAATGATGTGAATGATACGTGTTAAATTATAAACATCGAATAAGGTAATAAATAGTTAAATTTGATTCGAAAGCATTAATTAAAAATAATACAAATAATAACTGACGTAATTAAAAAAACTTTAGTAAGGAGAAATCAGTGATGACGATATCAACTCGTATCAATTCGAACAAAATAATCGATGTCTCTTTTGAGAAAAAAAGAGTCGAGGGGTGGGAGGAGATCGTCATATTAATCATTTGATTTACTTTGTTATCGAAATGTGCAGGGAGATGCTGTGACGTGTCTGTTATCGGCTTGGTTATATCGGGATTGTTAAAGAAAAAAAAAAGAAAGAAAGAAGAGAAAATGAAAAGCAAACATTAATTGTCACGCGAAGGACACTACGACGAGTAATAATAATAATAGTAACAATAATAAATAGTATTTACAGTAGTAGTAATACTAGTAAATTTGTTAGTATAACAAAACAGAAAACGATAATATCAATGAGATTATTTGATTCGAAGAAATGAAAATGTTTATAAAAATTGAAATTTATAATAATATATTTATTTATTTATATTTTATTTACAAATAAACAAAAATTACCTACAAAAAAACAACCATTGAAGATTTATTCTTCAATATTTTTGTTGTTATTTGCGAATGAAAGTGGATTTTTAAATTGAAGAAAGATCGTGAATTTTTTCGAAAGGTAAAAGCAAATAATGATGGCCATCACAGAAGAAATGCTGTTAATTGGCGAGAACACGAGTATAAGGTAACAATTTTTTATTGTTTTTATTTTTTAGTTTAATCACGCTACAAACAACTTCTTAAATTATTTTTTTAAATGTATACTTGAAAATTAATCTGTCTAGAGATGAATAATTAAATTATTCGTATTTTCAATATATTCGAACGAAAATAAACAATCATCAATATCTGATACTCCATTACTGGATTGTATTAATTTAATTTAAAAATAAAGTAACAGCTACCACTGAAATAAAATACTTTTATTTAACGGAGAAATAATTATATAATTAACAGATAAAATATTTTGATATATGTAAATAATATTATTAAATAATCCTGGATTATTATTTTATTACAACGAAAATAAACATAGAAAATCACTATTACAGTATACCGTTTGGTGGTTAAATGTACGTTTAAACAAAATTATTAGAGAATACTGATTGTTTGTTTTCGCATCAATAAAAACAAAATTTCTATTTATTTGTAATATATCAAAAGACAGAATCTTCTTCTTATTATTTTTCTTATTTAAAATAAACTATAAGATATAATTATTTGCTATTTGTAAACTCTGAATATATTGAAGGATATCATTGTCATTAAAAGGATTCAACCATTACAATCGATCGATTGATGTGGTTAAATTCGATAGAGTAGAGTTACTAATGAAATGCCTATCTAATCAATCGTTAATTCGATTTAGGTTCTACATTATATTTTTCTTCTTTCTTTTTTTTTTTATTTTATTGAAAACACAGACGTAAATAATAAAAACAGTTTAATTACGATTCGAAAAAAATGATCTCTAATAACGTTCGTTTTCTAATAAATCATTTTATTCAATTTCAATTCTTTTATCTTTTCTTTAATAATACAATATTTATTATTAAATTTATAAATATTTATACATACTAATTCATAAATATTAATATACTAAATATATATTCATAAATATTTATATATAGATTTATATTAAATATAATAATAATAATAATAATAATAATAATAATAATAATAATAATAATAATAATAATAANATAATAATAATAATAATAATAATAATAATAATAATAATAATAATAATAATAATAATAATATATAATTTAAAATATAGAATTTTTGATAGATTTATTTTATTTGAAATTAAATATAATATTAAATAAAATATTATAGTTGATAGATTAATTTTTAGAAAATTCAATAAAATATAATAAAATGGCTACATTTATGATAGAAGTAAATAATAAATTAAATTAAGACAACTTATTTTAAGAAGGTAACGATGATGTTGGAATTATAAGAATGAACTTCCAACACAAGTATAAATAACTTACTCTTGCTTAGCTCAGAAAGTTTAATTAAAACTTTTGCTAAATATTCCGATTTCTTGGCTTACGCAGAAAAACCTGTCTACTGCGATACGATTTGTTGAGACTGCTTGCATGGAAAAAAATAGTAATAGTAATAATCAGAAAAAAGAAAAAAGAAAAAAGGAAAAAAAGATCAAATGTAAACATCGTTTATATACTGTAAAAAGCTTCGTAGTTACAACCGGGGATAGATTCAGATAGAATTCTAGTCACGGTAAGAATCTACGAACTTGACCTATCCGTTCGTCACTCATTCGTTTACATTTCCCTCGACGCGAACCTCCTTGAAATTTTCATTTCTTTTTCTCCAGGATAAACGATATCCACGTTTCTTGTTGATTTATCAATTTACTTTTTCTTCTTTTTTTTCTTTTTTATTTCCAGTAAAAAATGGAAACGTTAACACCACCACGTTTCTTTAAACAATCTCGTACATTGAAATTACAATTTGATTTATGATTTCGTTTATAGTATGATAATAATCATCTATATAATATCTGATATTATCACAATTATATTATATTAAATAACAATAGATATGTATGATCTTTTTATTTTCTATAAGAGAATTTTGTATTATATGATATATGTAATAAATGTAGTTTGATAATAATTGATAAGAAAGTGTATACCACACCAGATCCATTATCTCGTCACAACTTTTTCATGTTATCGATATATAATTAGAATCGACCTTTCTAAATTACCAACGCGAACACTCGATACAATTTTTATTTAGAAAGAAAAAGGATTATATAAAAATAATAAGATAATCAAGTAAAATAAAATAAAACAAGAAAAGAAAAGACACAAATAGAATTTGAATATCTAATTGAATTTAGAAGTTTTAAATTATCAATGCAAACATTCAAAATAATTTTTTGTTTCGGAAAAATTATAAAATTATATAAGAAAAAAATAAAATAAAAAAAAGACAAATAGAATTTAAATATTTTTTTTATTCAATCTTAAAAGTTTTAAATTGTTAACGCTAACGTTTAATATAGTTTTTTTTTCGGTATAAAAAATAAAATTATATCTAAAAATTTAATAAGAGAAGGCATAAATAGAATTAAAATATTTTATTCAATCTTAAAAGATAGATAAAAATGAAGGTCGAACCGAGCTGCGACAATAATTTTCTTAGTTATTCTCGATGGAAGGAAATTGATTTCGTTTCAATTGGATAATGTTTAATCTACTTCTCTCTCTCTCTCTTTTCTTTTCTTTTTTTTTTTATGGAAAGAATTTACTTTGATTATAATCTATGCTTCTTCACGTTTTAACACCATGATTCTCACATAGACAAATTCGATTAGATTTCCATATTTAATATTAAGTTTTAAAAGTATTTTTCTCTATAATTTGTAGAAAAATCCATAATATACTAATAAGATCCTATTAATGGTTATTCCATACGTAATTAATAATCATATTACTGTCTTTCTATCTCTATTTTTTTTTTATTGGGAAATTTAATTAGTTGAATAGCCGAATGAATAATCATTCACATAAAGAAATGAACATTTCTAGCCCAAATAGAAAAAAGAATTTCTATTTTTAAAATTTTTTATGATTGATAAATGCAAATTAAAATAAAAGAAAGATGAAGTTGAATGAACAGAATGATTTAAATAATTAAATATAATAAATTCAATATATGCTGCGTATTTTATTCTATAAATTAATAAATAATCATAATAATGATATATCTTAATTACTCTCTTTTACGGATTTCATGGATTCGTTCCCTTTACAATTGTTTCAGAACAAGTCTTACAATATGTCATTAAAAATAAATAAATAAATAAATAAATAAATAATAATAATATTAATAATCTTTTTTATAAGAAAAAATTATAACAAATTTCTAAAACAAAATTTTTCATAACAAAATATGAAAAATAATGTTCACGTAATTATTGTACGATAAAAATTAAAATAAAACAATTATTGAATTGACAGAAATTGAATAAAACATTTAGAAATATTAAAAACGTATGGGCGCTTGAAAAAGAAAATAATCCATGTTCGTTAAGAAAGAAATAAAGAAAGAAAGAAAGAAAGGAAGGAAGGAAGGAAGAAATAAAGGAAGACAAATTGTCCATATTTTTCCTGAAAGCTTATTTAAAAAAATAACCTTCTTATTCAGATATAAAGAAAAAAGTGATATAGTCAGTAAGGTTTTTTCTTCTTTTATTAAGTTCTCCTTTTGACTATTATCATCTTTTTCTTTGGTTTCAAATAAACGATCTCGTAGAACGTCCTAAGGCACATAAATATAAATAATATCCCGATCGTAGAATATCGATGCGAATGCAATGCTGGCTTATTCGCTGCAAAGATCAAATATTCCAACATCATATGTTAATACAAATTCCAATCGGATGCTGATCGTGTATGCTAAATATATATCTATTTATATCCATATATATGAATATATATATACATTGGAATATCAATTTAGAACGAGAGAAAGAAAGACAGTAAGAGATAAATTAAGCAAAGAGAAAGAAAGATATAAAGTGTGATAATAATAAATTAATTATTATCTATATTTTACACAATGAGTTATTGCATTATATATTTTTTTATTACACGTATATTGGTTGAAAGACTTTGAGTCTCAAGAAAAGAATAACTTTTATTTAAAAAAAAAGAAAAAATAGAAGATTTTGTTAAGGCACGAGTCTTATGTGTATATACCAGTGACTCAAACAATTGATCAAATGTTCTCACAGTGTTTGAATTTTTACATAACTTTCGTAATTCACATAGTACAGAAATAATTTAAATATGTTACACATTTTACATAGCTTTCGTAATTCACATAGTACAGAAATAATTTAAATATGTTACATATTTTAAGCAAAATTAAATGAAATTAACAAATCCGGAATTTGATCAATTTTTTGACTTTGCAAAAATAAAATTTTAGTATACCTTCGTATACCCTCTTTTAGCTTTCAATACGGCTTTCATGCGTCTTGACATGCTACCTACTAAATTTTTGCACTGTTCAGGTTTAATTTATATTTTTTTGCAAACAGCTTCAGACAAAGCTTCCTGTGCCACTTATAGGAGAGGTTTCTTTATTTTTGATCACGTTCAATATTAAAGTTTGGAGGAAGTCATATCTTGTACATTAGGGTTGCATGACCAGTGAGGTCGTCGGATGCGTTGAAAAAATTGAAGGTCGAATGACTGCAACATCATACACATTCATTCTGCAGAAAAGTATAATTGGAAGCTTGACAAAATGGAATAAGAACGCAGAAGAAGTCATTTTTCAACACAAAAACGATCCTAGACACCAGAAAAAAATCGTCAAAGAATGGTTTAAAGCTCATGGATTTACTTTTTTAGACTAACCCCCATAGTCTCCCGACCTGAACCCAATAAAACACCTATGGGGTTTACTGAAAAGAGCAGTTGTCAATTTTGATCATAATTCGAGAAGTATTATTGAATTGTGGTCAAAAGTAAAAGTCGCTTGGAAAAAAATTAAGCCTAAACAGTGCAAACATTTAGTAGACAGCATGTCAAGACGCATAAAAGCCGTATTGAAAGCTAAAAGAGGGTATACGAAAGTATACTAAAATTTTATTTTTGCAAAGTCAAAAAATTGATCAAATCCCGGATTTGTTAATTTCATTTAATTTTGCTTAAAATATGTAACATATTTAAATTATTTCTGTATTATGTGAATTACGAAAGCTATGTAAAAATTTAAACACTGTGAGAACATTTGATCAATTGTTTGATCCCTGTAAATTATTATTAAATTATTACATGTATATAAATTTGTGTGTATGAAAAATGTGAGCACGATTAATTCGAACATTCGAAAGTTTAAATATTTTAAAATTCGAGTAAAATATTGTAGTAATACATAACGGATAATATTCGTAATACTTAAGGATTTAAGTTAGATGCAGAAATATATTCTGAAATCTGAGATAATAAATTGAAATAGTTTTAATTATTAATTTTCAACCGGATGTTATACGAATTTTGCCTTTTATTTCATTCCAAATAACTTTTCACTGTAATCATTAAAGTATTTCGTTCGGTTGATATATTGTGGAAAACATCTTAATATATAATTTAAAATATTTCAGTAACAAAATTTATCATAATTAATCGCAAATATATTATTTCAACAAATTTCGTAGAAATAATTTTACTTAAATGGATGACTAATATGATAGACTCACAACTTTTCAATCGATTTGCTTCTAAAATAAATTTATTGTTTCTTATTTAATATTAATTATATTAAAAATATATAAAAAAATTTTGTTTATTTGAATAACTATAGGAAAAAATAAGCAAACGATTGGACGAAAGTAGTCCTTGAAAAGTTTCTATCGTAAAAAAAGCAAATTAAATATCTAAACTTAAGTCCAACAATAGCTACGTGAATTTTTACCAAAGAAGAATATATACTTCGTACCGTCTACTTTTTTAGTTAAAACTCAAAGAATTGCAAATGGCCAATTTAAAAGAAAAATTTGAACTTTTTCGAAATAACTTTTTCGAGATAATCTTATTTATCCTTTCCTTTTTTATTTTTTCCTGGCTCTCTTTTTTTCTATTTCTAAAACGAATTCCTCAAAAGTAAAGGATTTCGAATAAAATGTTACGATCTTTGTGTATTCATATGAATAAAAATAATAAATAAAGTAAAATATAAGTTATTATTCATTAAAAACTAAAATCACTATATTATAAAATAATGAAAAATATATTATTTAAAATTAACTAATAAAGAAATTAAAAGAAAATAAATTATTACAAATGTAACAATAAATAAAATAACCATTTTTTTTTATATATTAATTTAAATTTTATTTATATATAATCAAGAATTAAGTAATATTATAATTACTATAACGCCAAATAACTATACTATACTATACTATACTATACTATACTATACTATACTATACTATACTATACTATATTTAATAGTATAAATACAAAATTAATATAAAAAATTACTTAATTTACAAATCCAATAACAAAAATTATTATAAACTTTTAAACAAGTTTTTATACCGTAATGCGTTTTTAATGTACGTGTAATAAACTTAGCGACTTTTAAAAAACAAATATAGCCGTTATTTAATTATTTAAATATCCTTATATTTAAATATTTTTCTTGTATACATTCAAACAAACGAAAAAGAAAGAGAGAAAGAGTGAGAGAGATTTTAAAAATGTGCTCGTCTCATGTAATTAATTTTCCACGGTACTTTGAATACTAGAAACTGGACGATAAATCAGGAATGGTTAAACAAAAGATAGAGAATCCGTGAACATGCATTTAATATAAAATGTCAGTAATTTAGTATACTTTATCGTAGTAGACATTTTATTTGTGTATGTTCGAATTCTGACTTTCCAACCATTACTTCCCTCTTCAACATACCTAATTTCTTTTCTCTATCTCTTTTAAACGATCTATCTCTATTTCTTATTAAACGATGATATTTATTTTACTTTTATTTTACCTTATTTTATTAATTTTCTTATTTATATTTTTAACGAAATTCGTATTAAGGCTTATTACAAATTTAAATTGTTCAGTTAAATTTATTTTATAATAAGCTTCAATTATCACCTGTTCTATGTAAATAATATCTTTGTAATTTACAAAAATTATCTAATTGAAATCGAAGAGATAGAGAGTGGAAAGAACGTCCCAACAAATTATCTGTCACCCATTACAAACAAATCACGTGTGTAGCAAACGGTTTCCTGAAATATCCAATTGCATTCTTTCGAAATAATAATAATAATAAAGATTGGAATTCGAAAAACCTTTCGTTGATTTCTATTCAATTATATAAATGAATTCGAAAAAAAGAAAAAAGAAAGATAGACAGATAATAAATAATATTTTATATTGTATAAATTTAATATAAACAAAAATATTCAATCATTTTTCATTGATCGATTTAAAATTTTAATGTTTTTATAAACGTATTTTTGTGATAACGAAAAATCAAATCTAATTGGAACATTTCGAAAATATAATTTCTTGTTTTTTATTATTTTTTCAGAATAAACAGCGATCCAGAAATAAACGTTTACGAATTGGATAATAATATAAATGGAACTTTCATCTACAATCAAAGTAACTATCATCTGTTTTATAATGATTCTATGTCAGAAGATTACATCTTCGATAGGACCGACGTTAAAGTGATTTTTATTTTACTCTACACCGTCGTTTTCGTTTGCTGCCTTTTCGGTGAGTAAACATTTATTTAGACAGATAAATTTATAATGACAAAAATTCATAATCGAATCATCGTAATCATTACAACCCAGTTTCTATATTAAATAATTATTTAAACGAATGATGTATATGTAAACGAAATGTAATTTCATTGATTTGTATTTCCATATTCGAGATACTTTTATTCAATTTATTTTACGTTCATAATTTTCTCATTAAAAGTGATTAAATTTTATCATTAATAAAGATAAAATTTTTATTATGCTACGATATTGACGTAATAATAAATTAAATGATAAGTAATTAGTTGAATAGATTATAAAAGAAAATACACAAGAATTCTTTAATTAATCTTTATTAGAGATTCATCTTATAAAATATATTTATTGTTTACTTCACTGCACCATCTACACTAAAAATAATTTAAATTAATACAAAATTTTACTTTCTTTGTATTATTGCTATTTTGAATTAGCAATAATAATATAGTAATAGTAATAATAATAGTAATTACAACATACTTAAGCATCTATACAAAAACAACAGCTGCAATAATAACACAAACGTAATCATAGTTAGAAAAAACTAACACGTATAAAAATAATGAAAATAAGAAAGAGAAAAAGAAAAAGAAATTGTTTTCCATTAAAATGTAATAATCTTGCCATCTCGAAAACAATGTTTCTGCATTGTCACAAATTAACGTAAATCTTATATACTTAAAAGAAAAGATACTTTCAATGAAAACAAGATATTAACGGGTTTAAAGATCATACAATTAGCATAATTCGGTCTAAATTTATGGTGATATTATCGTAGAGAAACCATAGGAACCATGTTTGTGCTATAACAATTCTTGGCTTTTTCTCTAAAAATAAAAAGAAAGAAAAGAAACGTGAGGAACAGGGACAGAAAAAAAATATAAAAGGGACGAAAGTATTATATAAAAAGTATATATATATATATATATACCTAAGCCTCTTAGGTAACGTTTAGAAAACGAAATCCTTTGCCATAGATTAAAAAGAAAAAAAAATTCTTACACATACACACACCTATACACCTACGCATACACCCTAAAGAAATTCTCGTTTTTTGTGCTATATCGAATTTCGAAGAGATAAATTGTAAAGAACGGATGAACAAAATATCGAAGGATAATAATAGCACATACATAATACTTTGATATATATATTATATATAATATGTCGGAGCCAGGTGATTCAAAATTAATCACGTTAATCTCTATATAAATTACACGTAGCATGTGGAAACGAACCATCTGCGGTGTAAAATAAACCAACGTAAATACATATTATATGCAATTTATTTATTTATTTATATAAGTGAAATAAAATGTAATCGGTAATTATTTATTGGATTTATATGCAATTTTCACATTTATTTTATTAAATTTTTGTTTAAATTAACAATTATACATCTATCATAATACTCCATTAATTTGATTGAAATATATTTATTTATTTATTTATGAGTAGAGTAGAATGTGTTTGATAATTATTTTTTAGATTTATATGTACATCTATTTTTTTTGTTATATCTATTCAAATTAAAAAACATACATCTGTCTAGAGTCATTCATTATTTTTAATGAAAAATTTTTTATTTATTACATTTTATACTTTTGAGAGAGTTGCATATATATAGATGTATATGTGTGTGAGATAGGTTTTGGAACAAAAAGTAATGATCGAATGAGAGTTTGAATCGAGCTGTCACTATAAATTATTATACATGATGTACTACTACATATATATATATATATATATATATA